AAGATACTCGGCCCAGGATAGCTGTTTGATACCACGTCCTCGTGCCCCTGTCAATTGGCCGCAGATTTGGAAATGACACATCACCTCCCATAGAGTGTCATATACCTCGGGGATCGTCTCCTTCAAGATCTTCAACTCAGTTGACCCAGGGACAAACTCTTCATATGGTAAATCTCCAAAAGGAAGACCAGAGACATCGAACATTTCATGTAGGGCGAACCCTAATTCTCCTTTCGGTGTGAAAAACGTACAAGTCTCTGGATTGTACCGCTCCAGAATGGCGAAGAAGTTATATGGACTAAGAGCTATTCCATGTTTAGTAGCCTTAATAGGGCAAGCAAGCCCAGATTGAGCTAATGGTTCCTTTAATTCTGCCAACACGAATTCTATCATTCGTGCCCACCATCCTGTCTTGGTGGAATGTACCCATCCAGGAGCTCGGAACACTACAGTTGGGAATTCTCCTTTGGCGGCCAAAACCGTCTCATGAAAGTGTTAGCTGGACTAGCTGTTTCTCCTAAAGGATATCCTCGTGAGAATAAGCAGGGTTCCATGGCCGACACTTGTCGATTATATCCAGCGGTATTCACACCCTTGTGAGTCAGAACCCCAATAGCTACCCCATCCTGCTCTCTCACCAAGTCCCAATTCATGTGACGGGGAACAGAAGCACATTGGTAGTAGGAAATGGGAAACATCCTGTGCATGTCAGGGAGGAAGAAGCGACGATCGCCGATCTGCCTAAGCCACTTGTAGTGACCGCCGTGCACGATCTCTTTTGAGATAGTGACACGATCCCCAAATAAGAAAGCTGGCTTGGTGAGTTTCTTGCGAGACCCAGTCTCAAACTTAGCGTCCGTAACTAAAACCCTGAGTACATCAGTATTTGGATCTGAGATCAGAGTGACGCGATCTTTGTCGGTGTCCTGGAATATTGGGAGTTCTTGACGCAGATTGAATTGCATATTAGAGTCCACACCTCCCCCATGCCCGAAGTGGTGACGAAGATTGAGAGGTTCGCGGGTGTAAGGCACTGCAAAAGAGAGAAATATTCAATCAGTCAAGTGAAGGGAGTTTCAGCTAAGTCCATAAGAAAGAAAATTATCAAACGCACAGTTCAAGTCTGGCGTTTAATTTTCATCAACGCAGAGATTAAACTCTGCGTTAAGCTGTCGAACGCACAGTTCAGACCTGGCGTTTAAAATTCATTAACGCAAAGGTCGAACCCTGCGTTAAGCTGTCGAACGCACAGTTCAGATCTGGCGTTTAAAGTTCATTAACGCAAAGGTCGAACTCTGCGTTAAATTTTCGAACGCACAGTTCAGATCTGGCGTTTAAAGTTCATTAACGCAAAGGTCGAACTCTGCGTTAAATTTTCGAACGCACAGTTAAAACCTGGCGTTAATTTTCATCAACGCAGAGGTCAAATTCTGCGTTAAGTTTTCGAACGCACAGTTCAAGCCTGACGTTAAAATTTCATAAACGCAAAGGTCAAGCCTCTGACGTTTCGAATTCAAAACGCAGAATCTTAACTCTGCGTTACAATAATAAAACGAGTCATCTTCCTCGTTTACAAGAACCCATCTAGGGTTTTTTAAGGAACTCGCCGAAGCAAGTTTGACGGCAACCCATCTAGGGTTTTTTTCAATGAACTCGCCGAAGCAAGTTTGATGGCAACCCATCTAAGTTTTATTTTAAGAACTTGCCGAAGCGAGTTTGACGGTCAAGAAGGGTGACACTTACCACCGACGGGTGGAACCTGAAACGGCGGCGCTGCTGCAGCAGGAGATCTTGGGCGAGGAGCAGCCTTTTTCTTGGAACCCATGGAAGAGGGTCGGAGAAGACGAGCAAGGTCACCGGAGTTGAGAACGAAGAGGCTTCGTTAAAAATCTTCCGAAAGAGGAGAGGCAAAAGGTCGGGTGACTTTTGATTTGACCCTTAGCGGTCTACTTATAGACAGCTATGAGCTGTCAAATCGGGTCGGCACCATAGGCCCAAATGCCCGCCAAATGTGGCTTGTGCGTCTGTGACGCTTGAGCTTCTGAACGCAGAGTTCAGCTCTGCGTTATAATCCGCCTGTGCGTCTGCATTAGTGGAATTCTTAAACGCAGAATTTAACCCTGCGTTTCGACTCAATAACGCAAGAAATCTATCCGTGCGTTCTAATTCAATCAGACGAATTCCTCTATGTTTATAGCCAAGACATGGTTCCAAATAAATAGAGGGAGGCTAATGTCAGCCATCAAGGCGACTAAAGCCAAGAAGAAACAGGTGACTCCACTGAAGAGTCCATTGGATGAGTACAATTAGATTACAATCAACCAAGTCTGACAATGTCTTCTAAATTTTGGGATCCAAAGTATTCCGAAAATTCGTCCCAGTCAACCGCGAACTTTCAAAAACTTTGGAGGGGGTTCTGTAGGCTGTCTAAAAATCACAATAGATAGTCGATCCCTATCAAGCCCTGATAACGAAAGTTACAATCAGACGACTTTCTGATCTTTGCATCCGCAATTCTGCAACCACTATAAACACGGCCTCATCTCTGAGATGACTGATCTTGATGGCTGCGACAACAGTATGACTAATATGATATTAGCAACTATTAGAGATGCTGATGAGCAGTGTAATGATTTCAGAAATAAAAGTATGACTAATATGATATTAGCAACTATTAGAGATGCTGATGAGCAGTGTAATGATTTCAGAAATAAAATGTTGGACTTAGTGGGTGAGTTGCTTGGTAGAGAGCTATGGGCAAATATTCATCTTCAAAACACTATGGATGTTGATTCCCGTCTAACTCCAACAACGAAAGCTACAATCAAATAGCTTTCGGGTCGACAATCGAAAGCGGTAAATAGAGGACCTTTCACGTAGATCGAGAAGAGTTACAATTCGACGACGCTTCCGATAACTGATGAAAGCTCTATTCTGCAGCCTTCGCAACCAACAGTGAGAGTTACAATCTGACGACTCTCATATCCTATAACAGGCAAGGATCAATAAACAATAGCCTTTGCAATGTTATAATGGATGAGGTTACAAGTCAACAACCTCTCTCAAACGCAGAAAGTTATTCCTGCGTTTCTCAAGTTCAAAACGCACACTTGTGTGTTCCTCAGCAGACATCAAACTCTGTAACGCAGAGTTAAAGTACAAGACGTACACATAACGTGCGTTCTTCAATAGACTCAACTATGTGCCCCAAACTCTGGACGCAGAGTTGAGCTTCAACGCACATGGCCTGTGCGTCTCAAATCCCCAACAGAGATTTAACTCTGCGTCTCAAGCCTTGGACGCAGAGTTAAACCCCAGAACGCCGACTGAGGCGTTTTGACTTGTTCAAATACAAGCCGAACGGCCTCAAAACCGTTATCCCACGTTCTGAGGGATTCTCGCCCACAAAGGAGCGGAAATAGGGGTTGGTTACACCCCTTATCCCCCTATAAATAACCGACTTACTCAACTGAGTAAGGGGTTGATCGGTTGGTTGGTTGATCGGCTTTTAACAGTAAAACCGCATAAGGTTAAAGAGGAGCTGGCATCAAACCCGCCCAAGGTCAACAAATCTCAGCAGCTCAATAGCACGAAGAAGGAGATCTTTTGAAGATCAAAGAACTGATCAACGATCAGTTAATCGAATCCCAGAGGATCCCTTCATCAACGGCATAATCCATTTGGCAATTAACCGAATCTTCGGTTCCAACAACTCTGTTACCGAGTTTTAACTCGCTCTGAGTTTATTTCTGAAACTCATTTAAGAGTTCGTGATTAAGCTTGCAATCCAAGTTAAATCATATCAAATCAGACATTCGGTTTTCTACAACTCTTGTCAGAGTTTTCAACTCGTTTTGAGTTCTTTACACTCATTAAGAGTTCTAAATCGAAGTCATCAAGCATTTCAATCGTTCCAGTAAAGAAGGACGGTCGGATCGTCAACGGAGAGCAAGTTCGACGAGATCAATCGAAGGAGGCACTCCACCGCTACCAAGAAGAACCCAGTTTTAAACAAAGGGGAGAATCAAATTCATTCTCCTCTCTTTTGTAATCGGAATCCAAATTGTAACTGAGTTTGAGAGAAATACAAGTTCGAATTTTTCTTTCATTGTCTTTTTACATCAAATTTCCTACAAACAAAAGATGGCGACTCCGCTGCCGCTTAAAACATGTATGGCTACTACTAAGTTTATGATTTCTTATAAGTTATAAGTTACTCATTACTTATTTTGTTAGAGGGCAAGATAATAAGTAAATCTCTTTTAAACCTTAATTAGTAAATCTACTTATTAGTGATCAAAAAATAAGTTGAAGAATTTAAACTTTTTTCCTACTTATAAATAACTAAATTTTTACCAAACATGATCCTGACATATACTTATAAGTGAAAACAATTAAGGTTATTTGCATATATACTGCTTAAATCATGGGTATTTATAAAAATACACTTCAAATCTTAGTATTTTCAAAACCACCCCTCAAATCATCAATTTTGATTAATTTGAAACAAAAGCTATACCCATAAAAGCAATTAACCATCAATTTTTTTCATAAGCTAAATTTTAATTGCGGTGTAAAAAATTAACAAAAAAAAAGTCAAAATTTAGCACCAAGCCCATGTTTTATTGATTTTAGGTGTATTTTTTTTTTAAAATTGATCATTTGGGGTAGTTATGCAAATTGTAAGATTTTGGGGGTATTTTTGCAAGTACTCATATGCAAGAGGTGTATATGCAAATAACGCAAATAAATAACGTTGCCAAACAAGCTGTTTAAGACAGCCCAAATTTACGGCCCAAACCCTAAGAGGTGAAGCGCATACAAAGAATGCATTGGTCCGGGTCGATTCGGGTACAGACCCACCAGTCCCTTCCATCCATAACAATTGATATTTATCCAAAATCCAGAGCATCCTAAATTGAGGGAACAAATCTAGTGGGGCCCACAAGCCAGCGACCTTTTCCTCCGGTTCAGGCCACCTGGCCCGATAACGACACGCTGTTACGACTCAGCCGAGGCGTTAGTCGCGATATTTGTCTCAATAGAAACAGAAATCTGAGAACCCCTCATTTCTCTCTCTCTCTCTCTAGGGTTTTGCCCTCCTCTGTGAGTTTTTATCCCTCAATTTTTTTTTTCCATAATTTTATGTAAGAGATTAAATGATTCATGTACCTTATTTAGTGTTTTGTCTAGATCTGAGTCGATTAGTTATCTTTTCTGAAGAAAATTTACTTAGATTTCTGTACCCGTGGAATTTGTCCTTTGATCTATTTTTATTTGTTTGAAGAATTTTTTTTAATCGGTGATACTGAAGTTTGATCGTTAAATTGCTGAGTTTGAGCTCGATTTCCGTACAATCGGTAACACGACGATATTGAAAATGGACAGAGATTGCTGACTGCTAACCTAATAATCCGCTCGGTATTCATGAATAATATGCGCCGATTATTAACGAGAATCTTTCTCTCCCGTGGTCATTTGCATCATCTGCTGCCCTGAATTGATGGATTTCAAATGATAAGAGTTCATATGTATCATTTATGTGATGTGTCATCATAGTCTCAAGTCTTAACTCAGGCTGTAGATATAGTTTTAGCTAGCACTGCTATCGGATCAGGTCGGGTCCAGTTACGAGTGTGCTTCGACTTGGATCCGTCACGAGGATTATGCATGTATGTGCACATGTGTGTAGATGTGGTATGTAGTTGGATTCACATCAATATAACAGTTGGACAATAAGTATCTACCCTTGTCACTCCAGTTAAGTTTGCTACATGTACCTTGGGTAGTATCTGGTTATAGATAGTCCCCCTTGAATTTAAAGCATTATGATGACCTTGGAGCAATACATAAGAGTATGTAGACTGTAGCATGCATATCATAAGTAGAACTATCATAGGAACTGGTTCTCATAGCGAAAGTAGGTCTCCTATTTATTTGAAATATTGGAAAAATTTTATACTGTATAATAGCACAATCAGCCCAGGGGATAGCTTGCATGTGCAAAATGGTCTCCGATTTCTTTGGTATAGTGGGAAGCTGTTGTACTATAGTGTAGAAGAGCATAACCCCAAGCTAGAATATGGTTTTTCTGGATGAAATTTATCTTTAATCTCATCATTTTTAATCTTTTTTTTCCAGATATTGCAGTATGTGTCTGCTGCACCTGTTATCCTTTATGAACAGATTTAGGAACAACCAGTCATTTTCATTGCTAAATAATTTTGGTTTTCAATGTGGAGTATTTTGTTTTTGTTACAGTTAAATGGCTGGGGGATTCAGAGTTCTTCATCTTGTCAGGCCATTTCTGGCATTCTTGCCTGAAGTTCAAAGTGCTGATAGGAAAATCCCATTCAGAGAGAAGGTGATCTATACTGTAATCTCTCTGTTCATCTTCCTTGTTTGCAGTCAGCTTCCCCTATATGGCATACATTCGACAACTGGAGCAGATCCTTTTTACTGGATGCGTGTTATTCTTGCATCCAACCGTGGGACTGTTATGGAACTCGGAATTACGCCAATAGTAACTTCAGGACTTGTGATGCAACTCCTAGCCGGGTCAAAGATCATTGAAGTTGACAATAGTGTACGTGAAGATCGTGCTCTTCTGTAAGTATACCTTGTCAGACATGCAATAACAGTTAAAAATATTTGTTCAGTTTGGTATTCACATCAAATACTTTTGACTGATGGGTTGTAAACTAGTTGTTGCATATACTTGTCCTTCATTACAGAAATAGCTCATGTGAATAGCTTTTCTAATACTGCTCTCTCCTACCAGAAATGGTGCGCAGAAGTTACTTGGTATACTCATTGCAATTGGAGAGGCAGTAGCATATGTTTTATCTGGGATGTATGGTAGTGTCAACCAGCTTGGAACTGGGAATGCTATCCTTATAATTCTTCAGCTTTTCTTTGCTGGTATCATTGTCATTTGTTTGGACGAGCTTCTCCAGAAAGGATATGGGCTAGGTTCCGGTATCTCGTTGTTCATTGCCACCAACATCTGGTAGGTTGTTTTTAATATCTTCTTTGTTCATGTTTCTGCAAGTACCTGCAAGTATAGCTACTGAATTTTTTAATTTATGTTGTACCGTTCCAGTGAAAATATTATCTGGAAGGCATTTAGCCCCACAACCATAAACTCTGGACGGGGTGCTGAATTTGAAGGTGCTGTTATTGCCTTGTTCCATTTGCTAATAACTCGAACAGATAAAGTCCGTGCTCTTCGCGAGGCTTTCTATCGTCAAAATCTTCCAAATGTGACAAACTTACTAGCCACTGTATTGGTGTTCCTCATTGTTATCTACTTCCAAGGTTTTCGTGTTGTTCTTCCTGTGAGATCAAAGAATGCCCGGGGACAACAAGGATCTTATCCGATCAAGTTGTTTTACACCTCCAACATGCCCATAATTTTACAGTCCGCACTTGTTTCTAATCTGTACTTCATTTCACAGGTAAGAGATTCCTATGTTTATGCTACCATATACAAGTGTCAACACATCTTATACGTAATACAATGTATACATTTTTCACTTTTGATGCAGCTACTCTACAGGAGGTTCAGCGGAAATTTCTTCGTAAACCTTCTGGGCAAGTGGAAGGAATCTGAGTATTCTGGTGGTCAGTTCATTCCTGTAGGTGGTCTTGCTTACTACATTACCGCACCATCAAGGTGATTGCCTTTTTTTTCTGAACTTAGTTCATTAGTCACCTGCTTAGTTTCAACATTCTTTTTTTTCCACACGTAGTTCATTACTCACATGCTTAGTTTCAACATTCTTTTTTTGTCAAGGGGTTGATCATGATATTTCTTTTTTTAACCTGTCACGTCGCTAACTCTTAATGTTTCTTTTTTCCTTTCTTGTTTTGCTATGTTAAATGTCCAGCTTGGCAGATATGGCTGCAAATCCATTCCATGCACTTTTCTATGTTGTCTTTATGCTTACTGCTTGTGCTCTTTTCTCCAAAACGTGGATAGAGGTGTCTGGTTCATCAGCAAGAGATGTTGCCAAGCAACTTAAGGTACATTTTTCTCTTTTACATTTCAGTATTAGTTAGCATTGTATATGTGGTACTAAGATTATGCACAAGTCATTGGAACAATTCTCTATTTGCCTGGTATGGGGCCTATGCAATCATAGGGGCCATCTTGCCTGCCTAGATAGATTCTCTAGACATAGCCAGTGGCAGATCCACCCTTAGACACCACTTCCCTCAGGTGGCCCGTACGGGCGCACTTAAAAACTAGTGGCTAGTAGTTGTAATAAGTAGTTACACGAAATAGTGGTATGTGACACCACTTCCCTCAGGGACCACATATAATACCGCTTAAAAACTAATGGCTAATAGTTGTAATAATTAGTTACACAAAATAGTGCTAATAATTGATAACAAACGTTAAACCAAATTATAGAATAAATATTAATGTTACACCACATTCATTATCTAGATCCGCAATTAGAAACTATTAAAATGTAGGTAGTTAAAAATGGTTTTCTCGTTAAAAGTCAATAAATCGTTAAATTAAAGCAACAGTTGGTGAGAAAGACTACGAGAGTTAGAATGAAGCATTGAACCAAAGTAGAAGAGAGAAAACACAATCAAATGTAGAAAGTGTTGTCATGTGGCTATGATAACTATGGAAAGAGATTTTTCTAAACAGTAGTTGATAAAGCAAGTCGCAAAACAAAGTGAATGATGATTGACTTACTGATTTCTTAGTTACACATATCGAGAAAGATGTATATGATAGTGTTACTAATAATGGATTATGTATTTTTTTGTAAATATGAACTCATTTGTGACAATTGTATTAATTATTAATTATATAGTGACACCACCTTCTAGATATCTTGGATCCCTACCGCATATAGCGATCGACATACAATTTCTATTGTAGTTTTTTAAACCTGTGTATAGAGGCATCATATTCAATTTTCATTATTAATTTCCTAATAACAGCTAACTAACTGTATACATATGCACGCGTGTGTAGACTGATCATAAAGTATAAATATGACACCAACCATTTCATGGATTCAAAATTTTTTGAAACTTTCCTTCCATAATTCTCCATGAAATAGTATCAAGACCTTAACATCTTCAACAACATATCATTTATCATCTGCGTGTGAAAAACACACAAAAGAATTTAGGTACTTTTATATTCTAGGTTAACGTGGGAAAGTCCATGGAATTATTGGGTTTGAGTAGGTGCTACTTTTGACCAAGGACATACTTTTTTTTCTGAATTATACCTGGCCAATCCACCAACGTCCTACTTGTGTGCGTATAGTGGGGACCTTTGAGAGAGACTACTGATGTTATATTTGTTTTGCAAGCTTTAGTTGAACTTTCACCTGTAATAGCAAGTAGCAATGACCAAAAGGAACATTTATGGGCCCAATATGGCAATAAGATGAGTAGGCTTAAGAAAGTGAAACTAAATCACGTTGTGGATCAGTTTCTTGGTAAGGGCTAAAAAAGGGACTGCCAAGTAGGTTTTAGTGAAGTGACATTGTCTTAAGTCTATGTTTTCTGGCACTTAGAAGTGTCAGATTGCACTTGATTAAGTTGTCTCTGCTATTTTTCAAAATCGTACATATGACGGCAGCGCTTCCATACCACTTGAATAATGATTTGGCTGAGCCACGGCTTTTTGGATTTCACCATAGAGATGCTGATGGAATAATGGCATTTGTTTTCAGCTTTATTTTCTGATTGAAGTGATCAACTGCAGTTAAATATCTAACAACTTTTTTATTTGTATAGGAGCAACAAATGGTAATGCCTGGTCATCGCGAGTCAAATCTACAGAAGGAATTGAACAGATACATTCCTACTGCTGCAGCTTTTGGTGGTATGTGCATTGGCGCGCTGACAGTCCTTGCAGATTTCATGGGTGCAATTGGTTCAGGAACGGGTATTTTGCTTGCTGTGACAATTATATACCAGTATTTTGAAACATTTGAGAAGGAGAGAGCTACTGAGCTTGGTTTCTTTGGTCTGTGATATGTTTGCGTTCGCATGGAACAAGATAGTGATTCCCACTGACAGTTTTGGTTAGGGGAGACAAAGGTTCCAGTTAATCCTTAATGTCAAGCTAGCTGGAGAAGTTGGGAAGAGTTGTAGAATATGTTAACCCTTTTAAAGGAGAGAGAATATGTTTGGTTCTGGTTAATGATGCAAGAAACTGATGCTTTTTGGTTCCATCAGGATATGTTACTAATTGCCGTCTCTATGCTCTTTTGCCATTCATGTTTTAGTTTCTGCTCGGTGGTCGTATGTTTTTCACAACCCACAAACTATGCGAGATGTTTGATTGCGTTCTAATCGGTCGTTGAATCTGATGTACTTCGAATGGGGTTTGAACGGCAGGTAAATGTCTCTGATGCTTCTGAGACATTACATGCATACGGAAAGGAGCAAAGTTTTTCATCTCTCAACTTGTCAGTAATAAATAGATAAAGTTGTCCCCTTTTTTTTCCTGAGAAATAGGTTCATGAAGCTAGAGATAAATGCGGAAAGTGATGATGAATGATTCCCCACAGATTTACACTAAATGTCATACGGTTTTTACCTAAATTCACGAGAGAGATTCATGATATCTGCAACAAGAATTGTGGATCTTCTCGTGCTCTTGCATGATCTACTACTCATAATTCACATAGAACAAGCTCTACTGACCACCAAGAACAGTGTAACAGCATCGTAATCATATCAGGATGCCGAGATTAGCAACATGAAAACTTGGGAGAAAATAGAATTTGTGTAAGTACCACTCTTTTTCCGAGCGCTGCCCAACAATGAAGGGGCAAAATAGACAACAAAAAGAAAGAAATTTGCAGATAATCCACCCTCCTGTGCGCCACTATATTGCCCTTGGTTGCAGATAATCGACAGAAGATCCTGTTCAAAACTAGCTAGATATCTCAATTCATAACCCTAGACTAAAAACCTACATTTCTCATGCACGGACGAAATCTCAAATCTCAAATCTCGAAAAGAAAAAAAGGGAAAAAAAAGAAAAAAAAGTATGCGTTTACAGAATAAATATTACAAGTAAAAGGCCACAATTTTCACGCTTTCGTGTTCCTACAAGTAAAAGACCATTCAAATCCACTTCCTAGGGGCACACAGAAGCAAATTAAATCATATATTATAAGTCAAAGAAACCGAGTCCTAGTTTGTGCAAGAACAGTCTCTTCTCTGCACTGTACATTTCCATATCAGCTAAGGACGACAATGGAACAGCTGCTGCTAATTTAGCCATCCAACTAAAAACACATCCTCATGAGCCAGCTCACTGCCCCCAAACGCTGCTAATTTAGCCACAATCAAATTATCCCTCATGAACCAGCTCACTGCCCCAAAATGCGACTACCTCTTTCTCCTTTTTGTTTCAACCTGCAACAGAACAGTGTTAACAAAACAACCCATTTAGATAAGGTAGCTCTCACTAGGATTGCAAATTGCAATGTAGATGGAGTTGCACTCAGAATTAGAAAAGCAGCAATGTGAATATGCCACCAAGTAATGTCTGCATAAAGTGAAGCGCAAACGTTCACCTCTTAATTGAGCAATGTACTTCAATAAAGTGAGTACAGAAAGGAAAAGGAAGAGGGAGAAAATCTTCGTCACCTTTGGCTCAGGTGAAGAAGGAAAACCATTCCCAGATCTCTTTGCATCATCTTCAGAGGAACAATCTGAACACAGGAAGTGATCTAATTTCTTTGCTTGTTCAATAGTCATACCCATACAAGAGGGATGAAACCTGCTCCAGATTTTTTGTGGATAAGATAAAATCACTGATCAAAATAACAATTATAACTAAATGCAGAGAAGACCATATAACTGAAAGAGCAAAGGAAATAGTAAGTCCACATTGTCCATATTCAATCTTTGAAATAGTAGCAAGCAGAAAATTCAGTGAGCAGTTGAACAATTAAAAGAAGAAACTACCAAAAGAGCAATGCAAATGTTCATACATAAGTTATAAATCAATTCTCTAGAACAACTTCAACTCCTCTTCTCATCAAAGAAATGTCAGCTATTAAACAGAGGGCTACATCAGAGATTTGATAAGTTTATGATCAGCTTCAACCTGACAGATATCCTCTCTTAACTTGTCCCAGACCCTAAGTTCCTACCAAGAAAATTAGGGGAAAGAGAGAGAGGCTTTACAGCAGTTAGAAAAAACTACATGCTAACTTCAGCATCTTCAATAAAAATAATATGAACTTTTCTTGATTTTAAAATAAGAAAAAAGAAGACAGAGAAAGAAGAATCTTGACAAAAAGAAATTAGAATTACCAAAAAAAATCTGCGTAAAACAGAACATGAAAATTATAGCCTAAATGTCTTCTATAGAATATTTAAGAAGTAGGTTGATAATAAATAGACAATAAATAGAGTATATAATGATCAATAGTGCATAAAATCCAGAACAATCTAAGAGCAAGCATAAACAAGATATTGCTTCTTGCAATGACATTGATAGAGAAATAAACTGCATGGAAACAACTAGAGATGACCAGGAGTCTCTAAAAGGAAACTAAAGTGCAAACACATCCAAAGCTGTACAAAGCCAAAGAAGATGCTCCATGCAACAACATTAAGAAACAGGCAGCATTTGGATGAACTAGATAACAAAAATTTATGCCAGGGGAAACAAAGCAGGAAATGGTATAATTCACAACAGGTTGGCTATTCCCACGTACTGTTGGCATAAAAAGAATTCTGAGCAGCAGGTGCTTAATAATTGGCTATACTTCTAGAAGCTGGAAAAGGCAACTTAGTGACCTAGCTGGTTGTTCTTCAATTATCTGATCTTGTACGTCATGCTCTTGGTGACTTTTCATAAGTTTTGTACTTTCTGAATTTTCAAATGTAATAGCTTAAAAGCATGGTGATTTTCCATAGGACAAAATCGAAAGGTGATTATTTTATTGCTTCCTCTTGGAAGCTACACGCATCTCTGCTGGGCTGCACATCATCTTCAAGACTTGTGCAAGCTCAATTCTTCACTAACTTTATCAACTCAAGAAATTGTCAACTATAGGCTCCAGGACAGACAAACATGCATGGCAGAGATTAACTAAACTTTCAAATATTCAAATTTCAATTTCTCCTTTCTCTAAGATTAGTAGCAGACTTGGGGACAGATGAATATGCATATCACAGATAAAGTAGAAGCTCTTCAGCCCCCTTTAAGGCAACCTCTGATTTTTCCTCTTCCCTATTCCATTGTTCATTAATGCTTTTCACATGGGGGTCCAATCCTCAGAGCAAAACCCAAGCTCATCTGGAAAATAAGTCGAAATCATGTTACATTAGTGAACATATACAAACATGGGCCACGGACAAGTTAACATTCTTTTATTCATTATATGAAAGTACTCCATTACTGTATTCCTCAGGAATCAACCATAGATAATTTGATACACGTTTGCATTTACAAGTATAACTGATAATTTGATACATGTTTGCATTTACAAGTATAACTCTTCAATAAATTAAGTGATACCACGTCAAGGCTCTAGTGACTTTGTAGGTCTGCCTGATGAGCAATTTATTGAAATGATGAGAGCGAATATAATAAACCATGGCCAGTATACACACAACTTGATGATGCATGCTATGCCATACACTAGAACAATAACGGGAACAAGTAAAGCAGTGCTTTATCTGAAAATGTTTTCCTTATGAAACTATAAGCATGCTTCTTATCCCTCGATGCAACTCCATTGCCGCTAAAAGGCTAGGTGTTCAAATATCTCCACTTTGGCGAGCATAAGCATGCTCATTTGAAATATAAGCCTAGATCATGTATATTTGTAGGCATAGATATCAACATTTCCCCCTTATTCTATCAGAATACTCCACTATACTATGTCTTAACTCTTAACATGCTTGCATCTACATATTTTGGTGCTTAACAAGCTGATTACTAATAAAATTTTAATAACCTTGTAGCTCGCAACAGGACCAGTTTCTTGACTAGATGGGAGCCAATACAATAAGCCATGGAGCGTAAAGACACAATTGGATGATGCACGCTCAACAATACACCATAAAACTAAATGGTCCAATAACTTTGTGCTTTATATAATTTTTCCCCCTCCCTTATATGACTGTAAGCAGTATTCCACTACAAAGGTGGGTCTCTAAATATCACTAATCTAGTAACCTGAAGGTATGATCATCATGAAGCTAAAAGAGATACATGAAACCAATGTGATGCAGCACCCCTTTTCAGTTCCTCAGGTTGAAGGGAACAAAGTAAAATACAATGCAATAGTTTAAACCAAATAAACAAAGATAGCAACCATGTTTGCTAAACAACAAGCATTACGATACCAAACCTGCCAAATGCACAAACTTTTCTCACTCTTTTGTTTTCGAATTTTTACGCGATGTCGATAAAAGCAACTAACATTTCAATAGGTCTTGAAGAAAGTTACAGGTCAATGCTCCTGCCCCTGCTCAAGTGAGATAAATGTTGACAAGTCAATATACATGCCAATCGGTTTTCATAATTACCCAATGAGGCTTCTTGCTATTAGTATATAAAATTATAACCGTCAACCCTCACTACAACTTCGGAGTTTTGGTGTGGTGGAAGGGTCCTTTGACATGGTCTTGGACCAATCCAGGTTCAATTCCCACTGGCCACACATTTAAAGTGGATTAATTAAAAAAAACCACATCACGAGTTCAGGTTTGGCCCATAAGGACATAGTGTGGGCATGTTAGAATATAAAATTATATAACCCTCACCACTCACAACTTCGCAGATTTGGTGTAGTGGAATGGTCCTTTGATACTTGCCATACGAAGCTAGTGAATAAATTCTTATAAAACAATGGCTTCCAAGAAATATGTTTGGTAGTAGAATCACAGGAGATATTAAAATAATACAAAGATGTTTGTGTTTCATTGTTTGCCACATGGAAGTTCCATAAAGATCAAAAACATTGGTCTAACTTAGTTTGCAAAAAGTCGTTTCTACTTATAAGAAACTATTCATGGCTTCTGGAAACAATAAGTTACCCAATTACTTCTTGTAATTTGACAAACATAGAATTGAACATGAATTTTTAAATTATTCTCAATTTCTCATCTTTGATTTTGCAATTCATTTCATATTTTCCTTAACAAAACTTTGTTCTTGTCTATCAAACACCCACAACTATGCCACCTTTCATATGTAAGATCACGTCTCTCTCGGAATAATTCCTATAGCCAGTCTGTCATAAACTGCATTAAAAATCTTCCATTCAATTTGTCATATACAGCTTGAATAAAGATTTTCTTGCGAGTTAAACCATACCTATCTTGATACTACTGCATTATTCTGGTATTGGACAAAATATATATACACGCGCGCACGCGCACGCGTACGTGTGTGTGTGTGTGTGTATATGTGTGTGTGTATGAGAAAAATGGGTATGCTTGGTAGTGATGTGTCATATTCCCATCCACTCATTCCAATTCCCAACCACTCCCCAACCCATGTGAATGTGGACCCCGATTTTAATGAGTGGAGGGGAATATGTCACCTCACTACCAAGCACAAAATCTTGTGCTTGGTGGACCCCGATTTTAATGAGTGGAGGGGAATATGTCACCTCACTACCAAGCACAAAATCTTGTGCTTGATACCAAGCATACCTATTTTTTTCTCTCTCTTTCTCTCTATATATATAACTAACCTTTTATCTGTTGTGATTTCCTTGCTGCTTAGTAAGAATGCAACATGCATACACACACACATACAAATTTATTTCAAACATATTCTCTCTCTCTCTCTCTCTCTCTCTCTCTCTCTCTCTCTCTCTCTCTCTCTCTCTCTCTCTACACACACGCACGCACGCACGCACACACACGCGCGCGCACACACACACACACATATATATATATATATATAAAAGTGTTACATGTATGCTTGTTACCTTCAGCTTTCCTTATTTTGTCCTAGCTACAAAAACCTGCGAAGTAAAGTTTGTTATCTGGATAATCTATATTCTATTGATCTCTTCCTTATCTTCACTTGCAGGATGCAATTAGAAGACCTAAAAATTTTAGTTTTCTTGATCAAACAGCTTCTAACTTCTTCCCATGCGATATAGCCTATACCTACATCAAAAGGGAAACTAGAATGATTTGGTTCAATAAAATTAGCTCGCATAATGAAAGAGATAATAGTACCCAAAGTTGAACAAATGAAAAAAAGTCAATAGGATGATTTGGACCAACATCACAAGAATTCTAAAAAAAATACTCGAACTATGGATATGAACCAATTAAAAAGTGATACTTTAACTATGATAAAACATCAATGTTATGCTATTCATAACCATCCAAAATTGTTAACACCACTACGGAACGTAGAATGAAAAAAGTTTGAGATGTAAGGCTAAAAAAGGGCCACAAGGTCCACAACATACAAAAATTTCAAGCCTAAAAAATAAGGTCTATAACCATTCATCTTTTTTGGTTGCTGAAACTAACTTCCAGTACATGATACCTAAAAAGACTTTTATACATCATCACAGATTATGCATGCAAGTCCATAATGGAGCTTAGAATAAGATAAAACAGGTGTACCAGATCATGGGACTAAAGGGGTTGACTGCTTTACATTCACAAGATTTCTTCACAAAAATATGGATCAATAAACAACAATGAAGATAGCAATTGCTGAAGACATAGTTACACAGTACGCAGTACATAGTGGGTCATGGTATGCAATTCGCCACATAGTTATTTTGGATTCGAGAGTACGTGGTAGGTTATAAGTTTTTTTTGGATGCAAGTAGAAAAAGTAACTAGAAATGCTAAGTATGCAAACTATTATTATGATAATCATAGTGTTAATACAAACGAAACTACGATTGTGTTGATAATTTGAGATTATCTGAGTTATGCATATCAACATATATGCGATCGATTAAAACTTTTATGTGCGCTTTGGTAGTTGGTAATATCTATCATGTCTGGAGTCATAAGCTAAGTTCATATTCTTGAAATATTTTTTTATATGTAAATTCATAAATATATCAATTCATGTGTTTTTGTCTGCTATATGCATTGTGTGCGCCTCGCTTAAATCAGAACCGTGCATCGCATTGCGCCTCGCGCATGTGCATGTAAATTGACTTGCGTGCATGTGCATGTGAAGGAACTTTGTGACCTGCATACCTGTAAGTGATACCCCAATTTTGAGGAACCAATTCATGTATCAGAGGGAATCAGATCGCAAATGTACCGAGAATCAGTTCATAGGAACTATACGATAGTTAAAGGGGGGATCTAGGGAATTACGCAACTATACTGAAGAGACAAAACATGTTTACAAAAGGACAATAGTCAGAAACTAACACGGATGAAATCTAACAATTGAAATGCACATAGATAGCAAAGTAGCTTAGAACAGAACCTACAACCAAATAGATGCCGCTAATACTAACTTCGTAACAGGAATAGTATCCTGAACCCTCTCCAAACAATGCCTTGCTAAGATTTTGGGAGTCACAAGTGAAAGGCCTCTCAAGCATAGTAAATTAACTACTACTGCTACTGCAACACCATCTTATTTAAGGTGTCTAAAACATAAAAGTAGTACTTTGTAGAGCCAGATCCACAAGAACAGAAGACCGTCTACACTTTACACATAACACAAGGACTTGACTAAATTAAACAACCTACCAAAGTTGCCGAATTATTATAATTCAGAGAAATTACTACCAAAATGAAGCAGCAAACACAACTAAGAACATATGCGTATGTTAGGAGCTTTATTAGCCAGCAAGATTTACTTCCTAGTAGAAACTTCTACAAGTGACAACCAGAGGCAACTTTTATGTCAACTAAGAACATGTGAATTGTCCTTAAGAAACTAATGTAAGTTGCCTAGTACAACACGCAACAATCCAAGCCCTTCAGCTAAATTATCAGCATAACTGAAGGATATTGATGGCTTTAGATTCTTTAATCAAAGAAACAAGGCCGGCAATAATTAAACGCAATTTTTAGTACATTCAGTGGCATATTATATATTCCATCATTACAAGCAACCATATAGCGCACCCCTATAAAGTCATGCAATGGCGAGAAAAAGATAAAAATACAGATTTCCGTGCAACACTGTAAATGCCAAGACAAAAGTAAACGTAAAGAGATGTAATATGGAACGTAGGTAAAATGTGTAATTAGCATAAAATATTCATTGAACCAAAAACAAGAAAGCAGTAACAACTTACCAGTCCTTGCAACCCTCACATTGTACCATGAGATCATCCGGATTATACGGCATCTCGCACTTACAGTACCTACAACAACAACAACAAAAAAATCCCATTTTTTAGCAACAAACAACTCCCAACAAACCAACCCCAACAACAACAAACTCCGAATTACTCACACAGCAACTCGGTCGGGCGTGAACCCTCCAGTAGCAGCCTTATACTCAAACCTACAGAAGTAATCCTCAGCGCCGACATTCTCCAGCTTCGTATAGTTCTTAAAAGAATGCACGATGCATTTCCCCTCAATCGTGTGAGCGCTCTGCACATCATAATGATCAGACAAGAACAGTTCTTTAGCTCCATGGAACTGTCTCCTTCCTCCAATCGACTCCTCCGGCCGATAATACCACCGAACCTTAACCTTCACGTTATTGCGATGATCAGCCTCGATCTTTTCAACCCTAGCGACGTACGGGGGCTTGTCGGAGTCCGATGGCCGCATCAGGACGCAATCGCCGACTGGAAGATCGACGGGAGGATCAAATGAGGGGAAAAAGAAAGGGATGAAGTGGAGAAATTAGGGTTTTACGCGGGGTTTACCTCTGACGACCTTGTTGGTGCCCTTGATGGTGTAGGAATCGAGGTCCTTTTTGCCAGGCTTCGTCTTGGCCATGGATTGATGGAGGGAATTAGGTATTTTTCTTTTTTTTTTATTCCCCTAGTGGAAACCCTAGAAATCGAAGTGGGGGAGAGAGTGGAGCTTGAGCCCTAGAAGGTGGTAGTAGCTGCTCGCTGTTGCTAATTTTTTGTTTGATTTTCAGACACAGGGCGAGAGGCTGGTTTCTGAATGGGATTAATCGGTCCAAGTATTGGTAAAAACTAAAAAGGGCTGCGGTAACTTTTCATAAAAAACCAAGAAATAGAAATGAAATATTAAAAAGTATAATTTCACACATTTCCATTCCTAAAACTCACTCACAACATCTAATAAAATATTATTTTTATCCAACAACTCATCCACCACATCTAATAATATTATTTTTATCCAACAACTCATCCACCACATCTAATAAAATATTATTTTCATCCAACAACTCATCCATCACATCCACCACATCTAATAAAATATTATTTTCATCCACAACATCACTTAACTCATATTATCTCATATTTAAAAATCACTCACATCACCCAATAAGATTGTGAAAACTCATCTCATCTCATTAACATTTTATTTCTTTGTTTTCCTCCCAAAAAGCTAGGAAAACAATTTCCTTAAGTGTGAGTCACATCATCCAATAATATAATGACAACTCATCTCATCTCATCTATTTTCTTATTTTTAAGAAATAACCAAACAAAAGAAAACAACATATTACAAGAAATAGGTTTCTTATAATTCATTTTCTTATTTTTTTCGCCAACCAAACAACATCAAAACAAGTTTTCTTAAAAAATCACTCACATCATCCTATAATAAGGTGACAACGCATCTCTCTCATCTCCATTTCTTTGATTTCCTTTTTTTTTAGCCAACCAAACAATCCCAAAACCTATTTTTCTTAGAAATAGGTTTCCTTTTCTTTGATTTCCCTCTTTTTTTAGGCAAACAAACAGCCCCTTATATTTTTATCCCCATCCATCCATCTATTTTTTATTTTTATTTTTATTTTGGCATTTTTTGCATATGCACCTCTCAACCTTTCAATATCCGGAAAACTGTTCTCCAAATCTTGATATTTTCAAAATTACGTCCAAATCTCTCACATTGAGCTTTTTGGCCCCTCCCACTTAGCAATGTTGATATTTAAAACGTATGATGTTAAGAAATGTCAATAATTTTCAATAAGGTTGCAACATTTTTTTTAATTTTGTTAACTATGGAGGGGCGAAACAACTCGATGTGAAAGATTTGGGGATAATGTAACAAATGTCAATATTGATACGAAAAGTAATTTTACGAATACAGAAAACTTGAAGGATATGAGCTTTGCTACAATGACCCAAAATATGGGACCAACAGACGGGACAGGTGATGTGTCCCCCTCCTATTGCATAATGAGCTGACCATCAATGATGGCCATCTCATTATGCAATAGGAATGTGACACCCCCCTGGTCCCATATTTTGGGTCATTGGGGAATTTTTCCTCAAAATGAGCCTCTCAAGTCATTGAAAAATTCTATTGGCTCACGTTTTGATTAAGTCCTCTATTTTTTATGCTTTTAATTAATCTCTCTAATCAAAAGCAATATAATAAAATATAAGAGCTGAGGGGTTTAGTAACAGTTTCAATAATTTGAAAGAGTAATCCAAATACTAAATAATTAAGGGGCTTGTATCAAAAGCATCCTTTTTATTTTTGAAAAAAAGATGATGGTGGGTAGGGTTGTGCAAATGGACGGTCGGTTCGATTTTTATCAAAATTTGAACAACCGAACCAAACCACTCATTATTCAAAACCGAACTGAATTGTTGCAAGTCGGTTCGGTGCAGTTCGGTTCAGTTTGTTCGGTTTTAATCAAGATGCATTCAAATGTTGTAGCCAAATTTATTCATGTCTATTATACAACATTTTCTTTTGCTTTATTCACAACTTATATAGGTACTAACATGCAAGGATATAAAAAAACACTAATCTAATCAAGATAAAGCCATAAATAAGGGGAAACATCACAGGGGCAACAACAATCAGGTGCACTTAAAACAAAGCAAATACATGCTACATGAAGGGAATGTAAGCGTCAGAGTGTCCGACGTGTATAGTTTGTAAAAGAAATTCAAAATGATGCTAGTATCCATCAGAGAAATAATAATATTTGAGTTGTATAGTTTGTAAAAGAAATTCAAAATGATGCTAGTATCCATCAGAGAAATAATAATATTTGAGTAGGCTAATCTCTTCTTGAAATGATGCTAGTATCCATCAGAGAAATAATAATATTTGAGTAGGCTAATCTCTTCTTGACCAAGCCGTAATACCAATCTTAAGAAGAGTAGAGCAATCACTAAATATTTACTTTGATACATATTGGTATCACTTTGTTTGTAAAAAAAATTAGGAGATGCATGCTTCCAGAAATTTATTTATTTCTGTTAATTACTCTTGTTGAAAGAAACCCCTGATTAGTAGAAAGCAAAGAATTAAATAGACATCAAGAATTAAATGTAGATAGATATCAATTTTATTGTCTTTCTAATGTATTACAAAGTTAAAGAGAAAGAAGATGGGATCTTGGGTCTGCAGACAATATTCTGGAGCCCTCCTCCCTTTCAAAAAATAAAAAATGAAGAGGATCTTGTCATTTGTAGACGTCAAAAATTGTCTATAGATTATCATACGTAGCTCAAGATAGAGAGAAGGCGATAAACGTCATCATCTGAGTTGCAGAAGATCACCCAAAGCTAAAGATCAACTAAAGAATGCATAAGAAACGCATCACGCAAGTTTCAAGGCGCAAAAACATATCTCAGAAACATAAGGGGAACTCACAGTTTCCGAGACAGTTACAACTGTCTCGAAAACTACGAGAAAGATTGTAGCTTCCGAGACACATACAACTGTCTCGGAAGCTATGAGGAAGACTATAGCTTCCGAGACACTTTCAACTGTCTCGGAAGCTAAGGTGATATAGATGACAATTTTCTCGAGATTCGCACATGCCACGTGGCTCCATAACTGTCAGCGATCGTGTGTGAATGTGGAGAGGACGTTACAAGTGGAAATTACGTTAATAACTGTCAAAATAATGGCATTAAAATGTGTTTAAAGCAGTTACAAAAGGACTAAAATGAAGCATGCTTCCGAGACGGTTATAACTGTCTCAGAAATGGGAAGCTGACCACGCTTTCGAGACAGTTACAACTATCTCGGAAATAGAAGTTCTCCGACGCAACTTCTTTTAAACTTTTATCTTCAGTTACAGTTCCTATGGATTATAAATACTCCCTTAGGATCATTACTGAGGAGGACGGTGCGTTTCATAGCAGAGACTTAAGCAATTTGGCGAATTCCAAGCAAGAGAGAGCAGAGATTTGAGCATTCTTCTCGAGAGAAAAAGAGAGTCTTTATCACGTTCAAGCACTTTCAGCAACTCTTGTGACTCCTCGAGATCTAAGCATTGACTTGATATTGGGAAAAGTGTTTATCTTACATCGATAAGATATTCACTTCTTTTCTTACTTCTAAAACGAAGCAAGAATCCCAAAGCCTTCACTGTTCAATCTGAATCTGTAATTCGATGGTCTATGGGCTAACGCACCCCCGGCACATGCAAAAATTCCACGCAAGCAGTGATCCAAAACGATTTTGTGTGTGTTTCAAAGTGATATAACGAGAGGTAGACAATGAGCCCAAGCGAGAGGGAGATACCGTGTGATAGACAATATAAAGGGCTACACACCTGTTGGCCTTCTTGTTTTGATGATGTTTAACAAACAATTTACTTCTAATGTTATTTGTCTAGTATTTGTATAATTTTATTTATTGTAGACAAACAATATGTTGGAGGATGGATAGAATTGCGTTTTTACGATCATATCCAATGGAGGTTGCCGGAATTGTGGTATGAAGCCTACGCAATTCAAAGTTAAAGATTCAAGTTCAAGCTTCATCCGTAAGTATACCAAGATAGAGCTTCGTTGAAGATCACAAGCTTTGGTAAATTTAGTTTTAGGTTTATATTATGTGTGTTAGTACTTTAAGCTCAATCATATACACACATACACGTTTTGGTTTTGTATATATATAGTTATATATATACATATATGTTTTGGTTTGATAGTTTTTAAGTTTTAATATGAAACAATTGAATATAATTAGAAAACATATTTTTTGTTTCATACTTACATGCATATATATGATTTTATCAACATCAATTTTTATTTAGTTCAATGAAATCATATTTACTTGATATGTTTGCAAAATATGCACTTTTATGAAAATATTGTTTTCTTGGTTTATGGACTTAATAACAATCATATACATCTTTCATTAAGTCTATAAAATCATTTTGTATTATTTCAAAACATGGCTAAGCTAAAATGTCAAAATTCATATGTTTACATTTTCATGTTTTGGATTATTTTGCAAAATCATGATATTTTTTATTTGGGAGGTTATTTTTGAAAACCAGTTTTTGTAGCATTTTATTATCATGTCTACAATCATTTCCCAAAGTTTCATAATTTTTGGAATTTATTTGATATTTTTAAACAGTGTTTTAAAATCAAAAAACTATTTAAAACCTGTTAATTTCATATATCAGTTTGCGGTCGACCGTCACGGTCGATCGCCCCTGAGTCCAGAGACTCAGGAAGTTTTTTAGAGGCTCGTGGTCGACTGTGACGGTCGACCGGATGCTCTCACGGTCAACCGTCACGGTCGACTATATGTTTTTCTATCGTCAGATTTGCCTCTGGTGTTGCTCGCGGTCAATCGTGATTTTCCCACGGTCGACCGCCGATCGCCCAACGGTCATATTTTGTACAGAATCATATTTCTGATTCATTAGGGTTTCTGGTCTTTAATTTGTTTGGGGTTTTTGCTGTTGGTTTCTCTTCCTATATAAACCCCTCAAACCCCCTTCTACCAGTAACAACAATTGAGAATGTTTTAAACAAGTTTAACAAGGGTTTTAAAGTTTGTTTTGTGTGTTTTAAAAGAGTTTGGTTTGTGAAGACTGTTTCACAAGTGGAGGAGATCATCTACATTGTTTGGGCTTCATCTTAATCCATCTCTCCATCTTATTTTTTTTTCAGAGAAGAATTTCTAAACTCATATCTAGCTTTACATTTGCATATTTGTTTTGATTATCATTCTTTAAAGCTAGTTTTTAT